AAATTTGATGAAGGGGATTGTTTTCAAATGATAGCTGCATTATGTCATAATTGTTTGAGGTCCATGCTGAATCATTATAAGCATGCTGCAGCTTTAGAAGTGCCTTTTTCAGGCGACTTTTAGTAAGGCTAATCTTGTAGGAGTAGTCAAAAAGCTTAAGATTTTACAATCTAACTCAGCGCGCGGCTCTTGTAGCGCATACGTCACTTCTTTCTTATTGGTAGTTGGCGTGACGTGATCTTTTGCGCGGCTGTAATTGGTTCTGAACGATCACGTGAATGCGAGTCACGTGCGCTCTAACATCCAATGAGCATTCGCACTTTTTTTCAGGGCGATGGAGGTCGTAATTCACTCAGCGCGAATAAAGATTCGGCGGAATGACAGGCTGAGCGCCGCCCAGTAACTCAATGGTGTCTTGTGCCATCCTCAGTGACCTTGTAAGATGGTCAATGAAGAAAAATGCAGTAAAAACAGCGAAATTTGGGTTGCGGAAGGCTGAAATTCGAATATGTCCTACCGGTAGGACAGAGGCGGCTATTGAGGGCGTCCAGGCATCCGTGGACGCCCTAAAATTATTGTCTGGTGGCTGGTGCTTGAAAATAGAAATAGTGATTAGTGATAGTATTCGGAAATATTTGACCGCAATTTAAAGCTCTTTATTCACTCAAACGTTCGTATGTAACGCATGATCTTTGTGAAATTTTGTGTTGAAGGGTGTCCAATCCTCGTTTGAACAACTAAGCCGCGCAGTTTTAACACAGTTAATTGTAAACGGTACAAAGCACATCAAGCGCATCCCACTACAGGGAATCTATATGATTTGGTCGTCCAGGACACCTTGCAATTTGAACTATTGACTGTTATGATACTGCACGGCTGAGATCGTACACGTGTGGTGTCCTGTTTCACTCATGTTATAAGTTTTTGTTTGCTGTCGCCTGTGAAGTGTCACAAATTACATACATGAGGCCCTGTGTGTAATATACATTGGAATAATTTAATTAATTAATTAACTCTCTGCTATGGTAATGGTATTGTATGCAGTCATCGGTGAATAGACATCGGCAGTTTGGGGGGGGGGGGGGGGGTAGCTTGGGGGGGCCCTCAAGTCCCGCACTCCCACCAGTCTGTCGATTCACGATAGGATACCCACAAAACTGCCAGCCAGCTCCCACAAGCCGCCTCTGCGGTAGGACATCTTCAAAATTTTCATTGCATGAAGGTTTCCTCCAGATATACTGCTTCTAGTAACTTGATGATGACTTGTGTCACTCTCACTGACCTCACATTGATCACTGGCTAAAACTTAGCTCCTAAACATGAATATTAAGCAAGTACAAAATCTCACGATAACATTAAATGATGTTGAGAAGGACATTAGAACCTGAGGTTCCGGTGGTCTACAGGTGTTTCACCAGCTGGTCAAGTTCTGGCCCGTTACTTGGACTAGTAACGGGGGAACTAACAGTGTTAATAGTTTAAACTTTGGGCTATAACTGGACCTCGGGAAGACATCTGGCAATGCGGCAATGCCAGGGAGTGAGTAGCTCTAGCCGGCAGCCATCCATTGGACTGCTGCCGTTACCGACCCCCGGGGTACTGACCACGAGTATCAGCCTCGGACCCACTACTCACTAGCTTTAGTGTTCTGAGTGGGGGCTTTGTTTTTATTACTATTAATATTGGTTAAGGCCAAGGGGGCGGCAGAAAAGCTCCTCTTCAAAAATCTTCCAAAATCTCCTTATAAAATTTATTTATTTATATTTTGATGATTTTCTTAGTGTAAATCTTGGAATCACATTGATGTGATCGCTTCAATAAAGCAATCAAAAAGGGCAGAAATTCTGTTGTCAACATTTCACACCTATAATTTATGACTATACTATGTTTGGATTTGATCACACTTGAAATCACGTTCCTTATCAGTTGAGGTGACAATCAGGTTACAGAAACTGGTCTTTATCAAATAACGGAGTAGTTCGCTGTTTATTAGTCTCATGATTGAAATACTGATATCTGGATATTATCCGGTTGGAAGAGACAAGGACAAGTGAAACAAGGAAGTTAGGAGTAAGGGCAAATTTTCGGCGTCAACGCCATCTTCAGGCTAAAATTGTTATAAATGTTAGTATATAATAAATGCTTCTATACTAGTTAAAATGCTAAATTAAAATTACACACACTGAATACAGGTTACATCAAATGGTATTGTACATTACATTGAAAATAGTGATGTACACACGTTTTACACTCTGTCCAAGTACATAATATCTACTGAACAGCAGGCCCAGTGGAATAAATTTTAAATATGACTAGGAATCCATTTTGGGAAGAAAAAAAGGCTATATATTTTTCGGCCGCTTTGCGGCCGACTTGTCACTGGTCAGCTCTTCTCCCAGGTCATGATTAGTTTGAAATGCTTAGCGTATCCATTAGAATAATTACCGGATGAATATGCAATTGCAAATTTTGAAATTAAATAAAAAATTTCTGAGAATTCTTTAATTTATTTGAAACGCAAGGAAATATTTTTTAAAAGAACTATACCGCCTAGCCCACAGATATGCCCATACCATTCTTCATACCAACTCGGTAGATCGAGTTCTAAGATTTGACTCTCATCAGCATGATGATCGATTCGCTACTCTGAAAGTGGTTTCGACCTTGTGTCTATATTTATGGCCTGACTTTGGATCTGAAGCTTGCTTCTGCCAGGTTAGATACAATATTGGACAATAAACGATGATAAACTTCGGACTTAAAGCGGGATAGGGATGTATGATGGAGGGGGTTGTCTGCACTGTACTCTAGATGATCTAGGATGTGAAGCTTGCTTAAGCCTAGAACACACGAGTTCCCCTGATATAGTAGCAATGGCTAGATTCACTTCCTTCCCACTTGCACTGTTGTTGACTTGTAGCTACAATATTAAATTGATTCGTGGAAATCGGTCTCGGATGTGAAGCTTCCTTAAGCGCCAAACCCTGAGAATACTGTATTACTCGAACTTCGAGAATTTTCTAAATGAATCTAGACTAAAGGAGCCAACTTGAATCCATAAAATTTTGAATGCTACATTTTAAAATACCGCTCTATATTTACACCGTTCACCAGTTAATATGGCTGGGAGGATTGGGAGGATTCATATTAGATTGTCGATTGTTTAAGATTAACTTGATATTTTAGCGTATCAGAGCTGAAATAGGGCATGACTATTTCAAATGACTATTTTACATGACTATTTTTTCATATTCCGGGTTGTTGAGGAAGGAGGAATGGATAGCTCGCGTTTTCTGCGCGTTTTTTGGTGTCTGAATGCGCAAAAAATAGTCAAGCAATCTTATAGGTAAGAAATAGTCATGGAATCTAGGAATGCGCTCGATTCGAACTTCGAGTCGATAAAATGATGTAACATCGCGTTAGCCCTGAGAGCGACCAATTTTGATTTAATTTTAAATTAATGTGAATATTTTTTCCACAAGAATCTTTTTTTACCGGTTATCAACAAATTTTGACTAGGTGTTAAATTCCTGGACGCCTGACTATTTGCCACTGGGACAGCAGGGTCGTGTGCTATTTGTTTAAATTTGTCTTTGAATATGTTGTAAAAGAAATCCCTTAAGCTTCTCGCACTCTTCTTTGTTATTGATACTAGGTTCCAAAGAAGAAGCTCTGAGGATAGTGGAGTCCATCTCAAACGAGGACCCAGACCAGTTGCTCAAATGGGAAATTGACTATCCGGAAAGCCGTCAGGATTTCACCCCATTCCTCGACACCCAGATAAAGATCGACGAACAGGGAACACTACACCACAAATTCTACAGAAAGAAGCAGAAAAAGAATATCACACTGCACGCCAACAGCCACCACAATGAGGGAACTAAAGTAGCAACCATCAAGAACTTCTACAAAACGGCTGCTTTTTGCTCATCAACACCAGAGTATAAAGAAGAGTCCATGAAGATAGTAGACAACTTGTTGGTCAACAACGGTTACCAAGACCCACGACGTATAAACAAAACAGGACGACTTCACCCTCTCTCACCTACAACACGTCATAACCCTTCATCATCAAACATACAAGATACCGACCACGTAACATGCACTCTACCATTCATCAACGAGCCATTTTCCAAAGAAGTCACTCAATTTGCCCTCTCACACAACTTACCGGTCAAATTCATATTCACACCAGGTAAGAAACTCTCAGAGATCTTATGTTCATCACGACCACACGACAAACCACACTGCACCATACCAAACTGTATCATATGTCCACTCATCACAACAAATCACGACTGCAAACCAAAATGTGTCATATACAAAGTTACGTGTAAATTATGTCAAGAGCTATATATAGGGGAAACGAGTAGAACAGCACACGATAGATTTTCAGAGCATCGAAGAGCAGTCAACAGGCCTTTAACCTATCCTGATAATGCGTTGGCTGCTCATTATTCAGAGTTTCACGATAACATAGAACCAGATATTTCCTTCGATATTTTAGAAATTAACTTATATAGCACCATTAAACGTAAAGTGACAGAAGCTTACTACATTAATTTATTTAAACCTAGTATCAATAACAAAGAAGAGTGCGAGAAGCTTAAGGGATTTCTTTTACAACATATTCAAAGACAAATTTAAACAAATAGCACACGACCCTGCTGTTCAGTAGATATTATGTACTTGGACAGAGTGTAAAACGTGTGTACATCACTATTTTCAATGTAATGTACAATACCATTTGATGTAACCTGTATTCAGTGTGTGTAATTTTAATTTAGCATTTTAACTAGTATAGAAGCATTTATTATATACTAACATTTATAACAATTTTAGCCTGAAGATGGCGTTGACGCCGAAAATTTGCCCTTACTCCTAACTTCCTTGTTTCACTTGTCCTTGTCTCTTCCAACCGGATAATATCCAGATATCAGTAAACTGGTCTTTGTTCACGAATATCTGTTCATTTAACTAACAACAACTTGTTTTTATAGGATGAAGGTGGTGGTGGTGCTGTTGGTAGCGTTAGCAGTCACTTACTGCAAAACTCCACTTCCAATGGAGAAAAAGGTGTACATCCGAAGAGAACACAGTCTCATCAAACCTTACTCTTGTAAGTTTAATTCTTCAGTTCAAGTTGTGTTACATCAAACTTTGATTTTTGGATAAATTAAAACTGAAAGAAATTTCCAATTATTTCTTTATTTTTAATGTACATTTCCTGTAATTTCGAGAAAAAAGAAGCTGCACCTGCAACTGCAATACCATTGCTTGATGTAAAACCTCGTGTAATCATTCACTCACTTTGGTGCTTGGCTAATCTCTGTTGTCATGTCATTTGAAATCTTCATACACAGAAATCATTACATAATCTTGTTATCTACTTAGCTTACACACTATGTTTTACTAAATCATACATATTTGTGTAGAAAGTTGCAGTTCTGATTCAACGATTAAATCATCAATAATTATCACAATACTATAATTCTGCCAGATAAATCCATACGAATTTCTAGTATATAACTTTTGACCAAACATTAAGACTTCCATACTCAAAAAGTCGCATTATTTAAATCGATCACCCCTTAGTGCAATATTTAAATTTATTCAAGCACTCATTTCTGTCAAACAAGTAAAAATTTGCTCTGTTTATTTCTCGGTATTGCCATCTTGTGAGTAAAATTATCAGCCATGTTCCTACCTTCCTCTCATTATTCATTAATCATATTATATGTGATGTAAGCAATGTCTTGTCATTACTCTAACATTATTACACTAATAATATGCATGCTTTACTAATGTAAATTGTAAGAGTGTAACACTCATTATTTTCAGCAATGAGCATGGATACCCCAATGTGGGATTATAGTGGTAGTACGATCGTGAGTAACAACGAGATCCGCCTCACGCCCGACCATCAGTCCAAGTCTGGTCGCGTCTGGAACACCATTGTAAGTAATGTTACCTTATATGGTAGTGGTACCATGGCAATTGGTAATATTACCTTATATGGTAGTGTATTTACTACTACCGTATCATGTAGTGTCTTCCACCAGTCCACTTTAATAGTTACGCTAATGTTAATTAGACAAAATGAGCTACTTATATTCCCTAACCCAACCATAACTCCCAGTATTCCTGATCTGCAAACATATTTACATACTGGTAACTTGTTTACAGTGGCTAGGTAGTCAGTGTTTAGTAGTTCGACAGAAATAAGACTGTTGTGTGTGTCTCAGTTATGAGACACGATCATAAATATTTACAACAAAATGTATCTCAAAACTCTAATATGTTAAAAATTGCAGGCACTGATGTCCCGGAACTGGGAGATACTGATGGAGTTTAAGGTACACGGTTCCGGGAGGACCCTGTACGGTGACGGGTTTGCTCTGTGGTACGTGAACGAGAGACAACTCATGTCCGGTTAGCTCAACTTCACGATTGTTATTTTACAAAGATCTTTCAAAACCCTGGCATTTTATTGTGCCGTTTATTTTGTGACTTATTATTATTATTACTCCAAGGTCCTTATGTCTAAGACCTCTAAACCTTTTTATTGCCATGTCTTCAGTCTCGTCTGACTGCTTCTTGGGAAATTGGAATATTTACACAAGTCATTATTAATAACTGCACATTCCATCAAATAAACCATATTAGTCGGAACCCAGCTATGGTTGCTATGGTGGTTATTACAATCCTCAGCACTCAAATCCACTATCTATAACTAGGATTACCTCTTTTGAGACACTTTTAACGGAAATAAATAATCTCCTTCGGTTTTAAGATAAATCAAAAGTTAGGTTATTATGGCTCACTCTACAGCTCCTGGTTACTGGTACTGATATACTAATTTTAATTAGTTTGGTAATTAAATTTGGAGATAATTTTAACAAGAAAAGAAGACATGCTATTTAGTTGTGCACATTATTCAGATGTGCACACCCTCAACTAAAGTAATAAGTTTATTTGAATGAGCATAATTTTCAGATGTGCACACCCTCAACTAAAGTAATTAGTTTATTTGAATGAGCACAATTTTCAGATGTGCACACCCTCAACTAAAGTAATAAGTTTATTTGAATGAGCACAATTTTCTGTGCGGTTCCACGTTCACTCTGGTATGTAGGTGTCACTACCATACACTTATTATAGCACGTAGTACATAGTACACATAATCATACTCACACTGTTACTAGTTCCTTACACTAGTACAGTGTACACATACTCACACTGTTACTAGTTCCTTACACTAGTACAGTGTACACATACTCACACTGTTACTAGTTCCTTACACTAGTACAGTGTACACATACTCACACTGTTACTAGTTCCTTACACTAGTACAGTGTACACATACTCACACTGTTACTAGTTCCTTACACTAGTATCTTGTACACCCTCCCAGTAACGTGTTAACATTTCAGGGGATGTGTTTGGTGCTAAGAATGGTTTTAACGGTCTGGCAATATTTTTTGACACCTACAGCAATCACAATGGCGAACATTCGGTATGTTTGATTCTTATTAAAGCTTTTAAAGATAGTTTATTTTGCTGTTGAGATTACCTCATCAGTTGAAAAGTAATTCCTATACTGAGTTTTAATTACATTACTTTTATAATCTTTAACATGTACATATAATGTTAATGAGATAATGTAATATAAAGTTGGTATACACTTTGCCCGAATTCTTATCATGCATTTTTAATGTTTCAGCACGGGCACCCTTACATCTCAGCTGTGGTTCACAACGGCACACAGAAATACGACCATGACAATGATGGTAAAATCTAACTTTTAAACTAGACTTCAAAAAAGATAACAAATTACTCGTCATTAACGGAGCTACCGACTCCTCTAATATTTTTATAAATTAAACTAACAATCTGACTTAAACATACCTGAAACCAGACTGCGTGGTCTACCTTGGTTGTAACTGAGCCATGATAGTGATGATAAATACTCAGTTACTCAACATAATTACCAAATATTTAAATATTTACTACTATAGATATGTCCTTAACCTAAGTGATAATCAATAATTATTTTATTTCTCGGATTTACAAATTTTTGGTATTATTGTATAGTTCTAACGATGATGAGATCAGAACACACGGCCATAATTCTGGGAAAACTTGCATTGTTGGAATATCGTGATTTTAAAACGGCATTGAATCAAAAAAAGTGTTACACAGAGAGCTTATAAATAAATTACTTCCAACACAAAATAAACATTGCTAATGGCTACTTTTAACGGAAAATCAAGTCATTCTGTGATATGTAGCATCCTTTTGTTGTTTAAATGGATGATGTAGACTCTAGTTAACATTGTGAAACTTTCCATTAGTAAAGCTCAAAGTATTTCCATTCTTATAAACTTTATTCTGAACTAATTGCATGAAAGATGTATAATTGGCTACGGGTTGATTTAGGCGAACTTGACTTCAATTTTTAAGCGGTATTACGTCTCGAAATAAGCGATCAACCGCGCAGGATTACCACCTACTTACCTTACAAGACATATTTATAACGTACGAAATGCGACGGTTTTCCCGAAATTTCGCCATATTTTCGGACCGCCAAAATTTCGGTCGTCGTAATAGAATCCGTCGCATTATTTTTAGCTCATTCCAATAATTGTGGCTTCATCGATTCATTTTGTTCTTGAAAAGTTAGTGATATGATGGTGGGACAAATAAACACAATATTCCATGATGAATTTAATGTCAAGTAATACGCTTATCCGAGAATCTTACTCCTTGGAGTACACTGGAGAACAGCGAGAAACTGAAAGAGTCGAGCCGGACCCCTTAAGTATAGAGGAAGATGAAGAAATCGATTTATAAGTTTCATTTTGTTTCAACATGATTTTACCGATTTTTAGAAAATTTTGAATTTCCTTTGTGTCAGAAAACAAAATGATGAAAAATACCCTTATTTTCTGTGACGTCCGAAATGTGACGGTTTTTGTTCAATTTCGCCATATTTTCGGACCGCCAAAATTTCGGTCGTCGCAAATTGGTCCGCCACAAAAAAGTCTTGTAAGGTAACCTCCCTTCTTCAACAGTTTAACGTCTGTATTATTGATACAGTCCCCATCCTTATTGATCGTCTCTTTTTGTCAGCTTTTTTACTGGCGAGTCCTTAAAATAACCACGGTATAGTTAAAATAACCACGGTATAGTTAAAATAACCACGGTATAGTTGAAATAACCATGGTATAGTTAAAATAACCACGGTATAGTTAAAATAACCACGGTATAGTTAAAATAACCACGGTATAGTTAAAATAACCATGGTATAGTTAAAATAACCATGGTTATAGTTAAAATAACCACGGTATAGTTAAAATAACCACGGTATAGTTAAAATAACCATGGTATAGTTAAAATAACCATGGTTTAGTTAAAATAACCACGGTAAAGATACTCTAAACTCTAAATTGTATCTATCAGGTACACACAACGAGTTAGCTGGGTGTCAGAGCAGTTTTAGAGGACAGAAGCACGACACTTTTGCCAGTATCAAATATATCAACAACGTCTTAACTGTGAGTTATGATAAAAACTTTTGTTGGTTTTTTGAGGTTTCGGCCACTCCCTCGTAAGCGCCATGCTTTCTCCCTCAAACTTTAAAATGATATTTTTAATATTTTGTGTAACTTTTAATTGAGGCAGCTACGTAACAGTCGAGTCCTTTGTTGTTATAATTATCTAGCTTTTCTTTGAAAATCCTGATCAGAGTCGCAGTGTTGACTTATATACACTCCTTATATGGGCATCACGTGTAGTATACACTCCTTATATGGGCATCACGTGTAGTATACACTCCTTATATGGGCATCACGTGTAGTATGACTTATTGACTTGAGTTAAGGCGGGTAGTGTTCCCGAGATCCATTGATAACAGTTATCCACAGCTTTCTGTCCTCCATCAGTCTAGCTATCTCATCTACTGACTTCAGCCCAGTATCTGCTTTTAGGTTATCTAGTAATGTTAAGTAAGGTCGCCCCCTGTTAGTATGCCCATGACTCGGCTTCCAGAGGATCAGTTTGTTCAGTGTCAGCTCCGGATGTCGATGAGCATGACCTGCAAGTCTGAGCCTTCGTTGGGTTATCTTGGAGCTGACTTTGGGAAGGCAGTGGTTGCTGACATGGTCTCGATATTGATTGATGTTAAGGGCCATTCTTAACATTCGCGTATAGCAACCATCAACCATCTTCTCTAGCCTTTTCGTCATAGTCCAAGTCTCGGAACCGTACAAAAGCACCGACTCGACTAGTGCTGTAAACATTCTGATCTTGATAGACTTCCTAAGCTTAGAATTCCAAAGGTTTTTGAGCGTGTGGCATGCTCCCATGCTCTTCCTTTCCTAACCCCTTTATCACTCTCACTGTCTCTGATTTTAGAACCCAGGTAAGTGAAGTCTTCCACGTGCTCTATTGTGCTGTTACCCAGGGACTTGATGGTATCAGGATTCTCGATGTTCTGAGTAATGAATTTGGTTTTCCCTTCATTCATTTTAAGTCCCACTGTAGCAGCAACCATTTTACATCTTGCACCAGCGTCTCTGCCTCCTTTACAGTATCCGCTATTAGAGTAATGTCATCCGAAAAACCAGTGTCCGATATCTTCTCCGCCTTGACTTTCCTACTCCTATAAGGCTTAATGGTAAATCCTATTTCAGGGTGCTTGCTTAAGGCTTGTCTCATGCAATAGTCTAGGGCTATAATGAACAAGTATGGTGCTGACGTATCCCCTTGTAGAATGTAGAACCCCTGCTAAAATATCAAATTGCTCAGTTTCCCCAGATCTGGTGTTATGACTTTATGATTTTGCCCTTCGTGTTGACATAGAGTAAATTAATGATATCCACAATACTGTCCGGTATTCCATAGGCCTTTAGCATCTGCATCAAAATTTCCCGGTGAAGTGAGTCAAAGGCCTTCTTAAAATCAACAAACACCATAGCTGCCGTTAGATTTCTCTGTCTAGCCCCCTCTAGAATCCTCCTGAGTGCCATGAAATGATTAATGGTAGACCGTCCTTCCCGAAAACCATTCTGAGTGTCCCTAAGTACCCCTTCTATAGCTGGCTGGATCCTATTAAGCACCATTCTATTGAGAGTCTTAGCTACAAGTGAATTCAAAGATATCCCTGTTTCCAGGGTCTGTAAAGTTTCCCTTTTTTCGCAGTGTTGCTTTCATTAAATTAGCTACACCATTATACATTATGCGGCTTGTAGCAAAAACTATGAGTCAGGCTGGTCGCATAATATGTTGCTGTTTACTAACCATTTACCCGCATAATATAACAGTGTTTACATTGCACTGTGTTGCAGTAAAGCTATACCAAGGAAACTGCAACAATTAACTGCAAACTAATTGTTCGACCTATTGGGCAGTGCACTATTATTAGTTACAATGTTGCGGTTGTTTACTTATTAAACTGCGATTTCTGAATAACTGAGATGTTTTAAAACATAGTAAGTTCTTTAAACAAGTTTATTTACATCACATACTACACTACACTCGGTATTAATGCCGTTAAACTCTATTTTCTAACTATAACCCTGAGTAAATTTAGGTACACACTGACGTACGAGGAAAGAACAAGTGGACCAAATGTTTTGAAGAGAAGAACGTGATACTTCCAGTGGGATACCATCTAGGTTTGAGTGCCAGCACCGGGGACTTGGCAGATAGTCACGACGTGAAAATGTTGAAGCTGTACGAGGTTGACCTGCTCCCCGGGCAAACTTTCAATGTTGAGGTTGGTGGAGTTTGTTTGTTTAGCATAGAGTGAACGTTTCGCATTTGGTGTTCTTCGTTCTGATTAGTTACTGCGTGAGCGCGTCATTGCCACCTGTCATTTTTGTGAAGTTTCTGTAATCCGCGTAAACTTGAGGTTATGAAGACAAGCGCAAAAAACGCGCATATTTGCATGCGCGCGCAGTAAAATGTATGTACGTACGTACGTACAACTAGACTAGTTGCACTTCGATTGCACGTAGACCAGACCAAATTTTAAACGGCTGAATTGGTGCACTTTCATCCCTGACGTGTCAAAGTACATTGATCATATCGAAGTCTTTAGTCTGTAAAGGAGGAACTCATATATTTTATAGATAATAAGAGATGTCAATGTTTCAAAATATAACGATTAATCCCTTTCAGGAAGCACTCAAATTGGTTCCTTCCGCTGAAGGGGAACCTGACCGACGTAAGTTCATAATTATTGTTTCAGTGTGCAAATTCTTTGTGAAAATTTAAATTTGTGTGTGCCTAATTACACTGATAAATGTGCGGACGATGCCAAGTCATACATCCTCATTCCTCAGCTTTGTTGCCGTATCTATTGCACTTAATTCAATTATTCGTAACACGATCCAACTTTCAGCCCATGTCGAAGACATCCAGCCACTATTTAGTCGTAGAGTGAAAACAATATTTTACATATGTTTTGGACTTGTATTGCTCCTGATTTTAGGGGGTGTTGGATATCATTATTATAACAAATACATTATCGGGAGAAATAAGAAACGTTTTTATTGAGGGACATTTTGTATGTTACTTGCACTCAAGGGACTTATCACTTAACATTCTAACTTATGGGCACACGTCTGATGAACGTCACTTGATCTGTCATTTATTTTTTAAAAGAGTGTTTGAAAAACTTCTGATTTATTATTGATAAGTTTGTTTACTCTAGCCGAAAGATTTACATGGAACTGTTTAACTTTATTTTGTAAGCTTCAGAGTTCTGTTTACGATACAGTCGTCAAATTTCGTTTAAATCATCAACAAATTTTACGCCACGTGGGTTTTAAACGTAATTCATCATTTCAGCGCACGTTCATCCAAAGAAAAAAGAGAAGGGGTCATCCTCTGTACTCTGGACAATTCTGTATATTTTCATAGGACTAGTGGTAATACTTTCAGTCGTCGGTATTAGCATTGTTGTTTGGCAGAAAAAGAATGAGGACCGTCGCAGAAAACGCTTCTTTTGAAAATATCACACAGAGATGAATGTATCGTACGTTAAATTAAGGCCTTCGATTATGAACGTATTTATACGTAGCTTTGATTCATATGACATCAAATTGTTCATGGGCAAAAGGCTAATCCGAGGTTTTTGTAAACTTGTAGATAAATTATTGAACAATGATTTCTAATTCTATTCTTGTACGATTTTTTACGTTTTGTTAAATCAAGTCACTTGAAGAGTTAGTTAAATTTTTGTACTAATATCTACTCGACTGCCGAATGCTACCAATGAACTAGGCGGTAGGCCGAACTCTGAAGCTTTGAAAGGAATTAAATGGATACAGTGTCCGAATTCTATAGTTTATACTCTATATGCGGTCTTCATTGCTGCATTAATAGAAGATTTTAGGATGTTATATTTATTTTACTTATGTCCCTATTAAAGTTAACAAGTTTTCGAGTATATCTTTATATTAAGTTTTTAATCTTATTGTAGATGAGATAATTGTCGTACAATATTGAAACACCTGTTCTCAGAAATTATTTGTAATCAAAAGAGTAGAGTCTTACTGTAAAAAATATAAGAATTTTTAGAAAACATCCACATGTTCTTTATAGCCCACACAGTTTCCTCCTCCCTGAAGACAGGAGTCTACAGTTGTGTCGGGTTCGGCACATGTAGCAGAGTGGTACACTCCACAAGGGGCCACGTAACCAGTACAACTGAAGTAAGGGAAGGAGCTGTATGCGCAGCTACAAGCAGTGTAGGCTGGAGCCGGGGAGGTGATGAAACAACCGCCCTCGTTTTTAACTCCACATTTGCATTTCTCCGGGTAAGCTCCGCACTCCCCTCCTCCTTGGACACAACTCCCAATACTAGTACTCGGGCTCACACAGTCCACCGCCTCGTCGTTTTTACAGGTAACTATTGTACCTGAACAGGTCCATGCTCCCTTGTAGTCACATCTACAGGCAGTGCCCGGTGGAGAGGGTTTGGTGATGGTACATCCTCCACTTCCGTAACTACACTCACACGTGTAGTCGGTGTAACCACCACAATCACCCTTACCCTGCAGGCAGGAGAAGATAGAGGTATCCGGGGAGGAACAGGACTCAGAGTGTGGGTCCCGACAAGGGGTCAGGGTTCCGGAACACATCCAGAACTTGTCGTAAGAGCACTGGCAGGCATAGCCTGGTGGAGCAGGATCGTAGACTGTGCAGCCTCCGAGGCTGTATTGACAGTCACACGTTAGTTCAGTGTTGATGTAGCCCCCACAGTCACCTCCACCCTGCGCACAGGACAGGACACTCTTGTCCGGTTTGACACAGAGAGGATGGTCGGACTGGTCACATCCTACAACCTGACCAGAGCACTGCCAGGCTGCATCGTACAAACACCTGCAGGCACTGTAAGCTGGGGCCGGTGTGTAGATACTGCAGCCCCCAGCTGAGTACACACAGTCGCACCATCCTATATCTGTTACCATCTCCTGCTCTGCGATAATCTTGTTTATATCCGGCAGTGGGTTCAAAGAATCTGCTCCAAGTTGAAGTACAGGTCGAGTAAGTGTCAGGCCCTTTCTAGCTACCCAGTCCAACATGTTGTGAACAAAGTTGGTGATCATTCCTCTGGCCCCTGCAATGTAGTACTCCTCCCAACTGGCCTCACTGTCCACTGTCCATGCTACAACGTCAGAGAGGAGACCTTTAGCCTTGTTAACAGCAGCTATTGTTGTGTCCCAGTAGTACTGAGTGGGGGAACAAGCTGTCAGACCGATGGAGAATATCTTGTTGGGGTACGGCAGCTCTATCATGGTCTTCAGGGCACCCAGGGTGGTGTCGAACATGTCGTATGTCAAGTAGATGAGATGGGTCCAGGCTGATCTGGAGGCTCTTTCTGCTGTAGTTTTCAAGTAGATATCAGATCCAACCCCAATGAGCACCTTGCCACGGTAACCTTTGCTGAACAGCTCTCTTTCCAGCATCTCCACTACTTCCACGCCTGCTAGAGCCTGTACACTCTGGGTTAAAGGTACTATCTTACTGTCAATGTAGATCAGAGCAAGGTTGTGCAGATAATCGTCGTCCATTATAGCCTGGAACACCCTCTGGTGGGGAGTGTGGCCAGTGCAAACCCCCTCAAAGTCACAAACAGATCCTCCGAACATGTTGAGGTAACAGGTACAATCACACGGGATACCGTGGTGAACGTCCGTTACTTGTCCCGTGAGTTGGTTAAACTGTATGTCTATCTCAAGAGCATTAGCTCCAGATCTCATGGCCCATGTTGCAATATTCTCGTTGTTCACCATGTGAGCTATCACGTAGAACTCTCGGTTGGGGTTTCCAGCAGGGTAGTATTCCTGGCCCAGGGCCACGCCCCATGTCGCAGTGATCAGCAGTAGGAACATCGTGTCAAGTAGACTGGAAATCACGAACTGTTTTAATTCTTTAATAGCCAAGAGATTGTAGTAAATTTTGAGGTGTGAAAAGTTCAGATTTAATCTGATTGGAACATTTAATTTCGCGACTAAACCGGTGCTGGACCCGTACAGTGACAGCTGTTTCCAACTAACTGAAGGACGCACGGTTCTTTGACTGTTCTGATCTACAAAATACTGTTAAATATAAACCAAATTTGATAGTCTCAATATTCTAAGACCTTTAGAATGTCTAAGTTCGGTCCATATTGTGATTATACTCTTTTATGATACATCTGTGTTCCTGTGTTCCTGATATCTTCAGGAACAGGATGGTGATGGCAGAAGGTATGATGTAGTAATTAGTCAGCTGGAGGGGTTACTGTTACTGTTACTAGGTCTGCTGTGATTTGTTGTTAGGGTCCGGAGTGCTATCCTTTGATAATCTCTCTGATACACCAGCAGTGAGTGACTGATGATATTATCGTCACCAAAACTGGGAAAAGAAGTCTTATCAATATAATCAGCTTGTTAAGTCTATCTGTGAGTCTGTTAGTTTGATATGTTTACATAGTAGGGCAAGTATCGGTCAAATTAATTGCATCAGTGTCAAATCATCAGACTGAGAGGATTATGCTGTGTGATGCCCTCTGTTTGTCAGTCTGTAGTCGAGGTAGCTGTTCGCTATTCAGGTCAGGTACACCGTCGAGTCATAATCGTCATTACCACCGTCACCACTGTGGGATGAGTACAGTGATTTCAGGGCAAAGTTAACAAAAGAGCACCCTTGAGGACACCCTTCGTGATCAAATCTTCGATGAAGAAGGAAAATATACTCATGACCCCCCCCCCCCAATAGATACACCTACTAGTACTTACCTACACAAGTAGCAAGAAGGAGCCACCACTGGTCGAAGAGGTTAACCTCTTTACAGTACCCGAACATATTACCATGTTTCTCGGTGTGTGTACTCTCTGAACATGTCTCGAATATACTCTCACACTGTCGAAAGGGAAGACAGATGTTACTTTACGGTTCATTGCTCCTGGTAGCTTAGTAAAATACTGGAAGATGTAGAAAATGCCTCTCAATTTCTTAAAACCACGCTTGTTTGAAATTTGGTCACTTATAACAGTGGTAGATACTATAATGAAATCGTTTAAAAATGGACACCAGAAAACAAAATAATGTACGGTTCGGGATATGTCAAGAATAATGACGGTAGTTGACAAAGTCATCACCTACCGTCAGAGGCACATATTAGGTGCGGTAAAAAAATCGAAATTATGCGGTACCGCACCCGACTATAAAGGTAAAATGTGCGGTAAGGTGCGGTAAATTTTTACCAATTATGCGGCAAATGTGCGGCGATTTTTTCGAAATTTGTGCGGGAATTGTGCGGTTTTCTTTTGCATTTTCTCAAGGACTTTGGAAATTCTAAACGTATAACCGCCGCTCTTATCAAAAATAGGTCTGTTTATGTGTTACTGAGGGTGTAGTTCTTTACTAAGACCATTATTGAACCTAATATTGAGATTCAGTTATCTGAGAACAGTGACTTGATCTGGTAGAGATCAGGAGACAGTTATTTGAAGACACCTCTTGATAGAGTCGATCAGATCCCATGCAGGTATCTTCTGTTTCTTGTGTGGTGAGTTTGATGATGGGTCACTGTCTGTACCTGTTCGTTTCTTTAGGAAACGGTCCATGACGTTGTGATGTGATAATGATATAGAGTAATCAGATGATGTGGTGAAGTTACGAATGATAACTGATACACTATAATCGAAGTACGGTAACGACGAGGGTTCCATAACGGCCTGGGTCACGGTCCCGAAAGGGCCTGGGTCAGGGTCCCGAAAGGCCCTGGGTAACGGTCCCGAAAGGGCCTGGGTCACGGTCCCGAAAGGGCCTCGGTCACGTGGTAACCGGGTCACGTGGCCTAAGTATGAGTTCCAAAAGGGCCTGAGTCACGGTCCCGAAAGGGCCTGGGTCAGGGTCCCGAAAGGGCCTGGGTCAGGGTCCCGAAAGGTCCTGAGTCACGTGGTAACTGGGTCACGTGGCCTAGGTATGAGTTCCAAAAGGGCCTGGGTCACGGTCCCGAAAGGGCCTGGGTCAGGGTCCCGAAAGGGCCTGAGTCACTATAAAAGGGCCCGACTTTTAACATATTTTGGTTTTTACACTCGAAAATCTTAACGCGAAAATTACAAAATTATGCGAAATTACGCGGAAAATGCTAGATTATGCGGAAATATGCAGATAATTACAAAATGTGCGGAAATGTGCGGAAAACAATAAATTATGCGGAAGTGTGCGGAAAACGGTAAATTGTGCGACCCCGCACCCATCGCACCTAATATGTGCCCATGCCTACCGTAGTGTTCTGGTCGCAGAAACTTCCGATTTTAGAGGCAACAACAAAAGGCAAAGAGAAGAGCACAGCTGCTGCAAACATTTTCCGTTTCCACTAGGAGAACTGATTTAGCAATGTGGTGAGCTTTATCAAGTAATGTAGTTACTCCTGCTCTGCTTTACGTTATCAACCCGAACATATTAAGCTGAGATTGTTGATCATTACAGTTCGCTTAAAATCAGCAAACTGTCAATATCACGCGTTTAAAATATGGATTATGGAATGATATCAACTTGAAGCTTTATAAGGCCAAATTACGAATTAAATTCCTGGAATTGAATTCGCGAGTGGCGAGAAAGAACAAGGACCATTACACTTTAACAGACAGAATTAATAAACCTGACAAAATTGGTAGCAATTAACCTGTTAGCTCATTAAATTGCTCTTGTTGAATTGTAGCACTAATAAGCTTAAATTATACGCCTGATTTTACCAGATACAGTGATACAGCTTAATTTAAATATTGTATTTGTAAGGTCAAAATCTAAAATCTAAAATATCCCTGGATCAGAAGTATTCCTAATCGTTGCAAACAAATTTGTACAAAACTTGAATCGTCAGCTGCCATTGACAAACTTACATTTGTGTTTTGAGGTATTCTGCCGTTTCTGACAAATGTGCTTAAAGACCATTTTTGAAATTCTGAATTCTTTTAAACCCACATCTTTTTGGGTCAAGAATTATCCCTGAAAAACATCAGAAACCCTCAAAAACCATTCAATGGCCCTCAGAAACCCCCTTTTGAAACCGCTTAATAAATGCCACAAGATGTCATAAATGTGTCAAATTAGTGCTTAAAAACCTTGGATTTTTGCGTAGCTTTTAAGCATGACTTAGTCACAAAACGGCAGTATTGCCCCCTCCATTTGTTTCTCTAATATTCCAACTTTCAATGGAAGCACATATCTGTGATTCATCATACTGATTACTGATATCTATTAGAATTGTGTAGTGGCTCATTCGTGGGCTAGAAAAAAGAAACAAAAAAATAGTTCACGAGAGGAATGTTCATTCGGTGCTTCTCCTCATACTGTCCTCACAGCTCACAACACGTACTGTCCTCACAGCTCACAACACGTACTGTCCTCACAGCTCACAACACGTACTGTCCTCACAGCTCACAACACGTACTGTCCTCACAGCTCACAACACGTACTGTCCTCACAGCTCACAACACGTACTGTCCTCACAGCTCACAACACGTACTGTCCTCACAGCTCACAACACGTACTGTCCTCACAGCTCACAACACGTACTGTCCTCACAGCTCACAACACGTACTGTCCTCACAGCTCACAACACGTACTGTCCTCACAGCTCACAACACGTACTGTCCTCACAGCTCACAACACGTACTGTCCTCACAGCTCACAACACGTACTGTCCTCACAGCTCACACCTCACAGCTCACAACACGTACTGTCCTCACAGCTCACAACACGTGCTGTCCTCACAGCTCACAACACGTACTGGTCCCTCACAGCTCACAACACGTGCTGTCCTCACAGCTCACAACACGTACTGTCCTCACAGCTCACAACACGTACTGTCCTCACAGCTCACAACACGTACTGTCCTCACAGCTCACAACACGTACTGTCCTCACAGCTCACAACACGTACTGTCCTCACAGCTCACAACACGTACTGTCCTCACAGCTCACAACACGTACTGTCCTCACAGCTCACAACACGTACTGTCCTCACAGCTCACAACACGTACTGTCCTCACAGCTCACAACACGTACTGTCCTCACAGCTCACAACACGTACTGTCCTCACAGCTCACAACACGTACTGTCCTCACAGCTCACAACACGTACTGTCCTCACAGCTCACAACACGTACTGTCCTCACAGCTCACAACACGTACTGTCCTCACAGCTCACAACACGTACTGTCCTCACAGCTCACAACACGTACTGTCCTCACAGCTCACAACACGTACTGTCCTCACAGCTCACAACACGTACTGTCCTCACAGCTCACAACACGTACTGTCCTCACAGCTCACAACACGTACTGTCCTCACAGCTCACAACACGTACTGTCCTCACAGCTCACAACACGTACTGTCCTCACAGCTCACAACACGTACTGTCCTCACAGCTCACAACACGTACTGTCCTCACAGCTCACAACACGTACTGTCCTCACAGCTCACAACACGTACTGTCCTCACAGCTCACAACACGTACTGTCCTCACAGCTCACAACACGTACTGTCCTCACAGCTCACAACACGTACTGTCCTCACAGCTCACAACACGTACTGTCCTCACAGCTCACAACACGTACTGTCCTCACAGCTCACAACACGTACTGTCCTCACAGCTCACAACACGTACTGTCCTCACAGCTCACAACACGTACTGTCCTCACAGCTCACAACACGTACTGTCCTCACAGCTCACAACACGTACTGTCCTCACAGCTCACAACACGTACTGTCCTCACAGCTCACAACACGTACTGTCCTCACAGCTCACAACACGTACTGTCCTCACAGCTCACAACACGTACTGTCCTCACAGCTCACAACACGTACTGTCCTCACAGCTCACAACACGTACTGTCCTCACAGCTCACAACACGTACTGTCCTCACAGCTCACAACACGTACTGTCCTCACAGCTCACAACACGTACTGTCCTCACAGCTCACAACACGTACTGTCCTCACAGCTCACAACACGTACTGTCCTCACAGCTCACAACACGTACTGTCCTCACAGCTCACAACACGTACTGTCCTCACAGCTCACAACACGTACTGTCCTCACAGCTCACAACACGTACTGTCCTCACAGCTCACAACACGTACTGTCCTCACAGCTCACAACACGTACTGTCCTCACAGCTCACAACACGTACTGTCCTCACAGCTCACAACACGTACTGTCCTCACAGCTCACAACACGTACTGTCCTCACAGCTCACAACACGTACTGTCCTCACAGCTCACAACACGTACTGTCCTCACAGCTCACAACACGTACTGTCCTCACAGCTCACAACACGTACTGTCCTCACAGCTCACAACACGTACTGTCCTCACAGCTCACAACACGTACTGTCCTCACAGCTCACAACACGTACTGTCCTCACAGCTCACAACACGTACTGTCCTCACAGCTCACAACACGTACTGTCCTCACAGCTCACAACACGTACTGTCCTCACAGCTCACAACACGTACTGTCCTCACAGCTCACAACACGTACTGTCCTCACAGCTCACAACACGTACTGTCCTCACAGCTCACAACACGTACTGTCCTCACAGCTCACAACACGTACTGTCCTCACAGCTCACAACACGTACTGTCCTCACAGCTCACAACACGTACTGTCCTCACAGCTCACAACACGTACTGTCCTCACAGCTCACAACACGTACTGTCCTCACAGCTCACAACACGTACTGTCCTCACAGCTCACAACACGTACTGTCCTCACAGCTCACAACACGTACTGTCCTCACAGCTCACAACACGTACTGTCCTCACAGCTCACAACACGTACTGTCCTCACAGCTCACAACACGTACTGTCCTCACAGCTCACAACACGTACTGTCCTCACAGCTCACAACACGTGCTGTCCTCACAGCTCACAACACGTACTGTCCTCACAGCTCACAACACGTACTGTCCTCACAGCTCACAACACGTACTGTCCTCACAGCTCACAACACGTACTGTCCTCACAGCTCACAACACGTACTGTCCTCACAGCTCACAACACGTACTGTCCTCACAGCTCACAACACGTACTGTCCTCACAGCTCACAACACGTACTGTCCTCACAGCTCACAACACGTGCTGTCCTCACAGCTCACAACACGTACTGTCCTCACAGCTCACAACACGTACTGTCCTCACAGCTCACAACACGTACTGTCCTCACAGCTCACAACACGTACTGTCCTCACAGTTCACAACACGTACTGTCCTCACAGCTCACAACACGTACTGTCCTCACAGCTCACAACACGTGCATTTCTGTAGCAAAGTGGAGAGTCAACAGAACGTACTATCAAGTGTCGCTAGTGAAGCCACTGGAAGCTGCGATCAGGCTCACTTCCAAAGAAAAATGTCTTCTTTCTAGTTCTACCCGAGAAAGTCATAAACAGTTTTTGATCGATGGTGATGACTGATGAGCAGAAATGAATTGGGGAACGCTTTCAAACATTTCACCTATGATAATTTTTGCTTTGTTCATTTCGATATTAAGATCGAGTTGCTGTTACTTTCTATCGTATAAAAGTAATCATAGTGCAGATAATGAAACAATACAGATCAAACAAGGTCAAGGTTTGGGGTGGCGTGATTTTCACGATTTTCATTGCACTGAGATATTCAATATTCATGCATATCTATTAAAAGAACTGTATTCTATACAAGTTCAATGCAATCTTCTATCAATCTTAGTAAATACCCCCTACTGTTTCATTGGCCGAGGTCTTCCTGCTAGACTAGCAGCATACATCATTACAAATACAAGTGATAAATCTATCGGATAACTCATTTTGTCTCTTTAACTCCACCGTTGGAATGTTCGCCTTATTTCAGTGAGTGCTTAGCGGAGCACGACCACAGATTCTCACTCGGCGTATTATTTATACCTATACTTATACCAGGGTAGATAATAACTCATAACTGTAAACAAAACAGAACACATTAAAGCCAAGGGGTTTATCTCATCATCTCTAGCGAGGGAACAATAAATTCGATCCAAACAACGAAGGATGAAATTGCTCATTCAAATTGCCAATAAATCTGAAATGTCCAAAGTATGCATTGATTAATTGAAAGATGTAAAGAATTTGTGGAGCCAACGTCTCAACAACGACACAAACCAAGTCAGTTTCTGGTGAGTACTGTAAGGACAGGGCACTGCACGATTGTGTGCTGAACAAACTTTGCACAATGTGACAATGTGGTCGGTGCATCTGCACTACACTGAGTGTAATTGTGTATATTTTACACCCGGAAGACCAAGACCCAAGTAGTTGCCATGATCTGATGAGACCACTGCGGAAGGGCGAAGTGGGTTCTACTGCCTAGGTGGGGAGTGGGGACTAAAGGGGCTGGAGCTCTCGAACATTTTTACAATTTGGCGATTACCATGGTCCTAGACGTTAAAGG